AGGCCCTCGAACTCGGATCCAAACTGAAGGCTGGAAGCAGTCCTGTCAACTGCATCTTGAAAGCGGACCGGGCATCCCCACACTGCACCAGCGCTACACGCCGGGCCCTGAAACCAAAGCCCTGTAGTCGGAAGCGTGCAGACTCTGCGGAACGCCTGCCGAGTGAGAGCCTCCGGCTGTAGATGTCCAGAGCCCTGCAGAGAGAAACATTGGTGCGAGCCGGAAGCTCCGAACAGGTACTCCCCTGAACCCTTCACATCCCCAAAACCCTAAGCCCTACGGAAGAGCCCCAAAAAACCTTCAGGATGCATCCGAAAAACTCTTGCTTCGGGCCATGGCCCCCCGTTCCGCACACAAAGAATCCCCAAAATGCAGGGACCCACGTGTTTTGCATCTTTGAGGGTTCTAGGCCTATAAGCCCTGAACCCGAAGTTAACCCTAAGCCCTAAACCATAAACCCTAGGGCGCAGCAATCAAGCTCAGAAACCCAACTCAGAAGCTCATGCTCTACCCCTGATATGCCTCAAGCACGACTAAGAACCCCTGCCCCATTGGCGGCCTTTTTGTTGGCTGACTTGACGGGGTATTCTCCGAAAAAGCCCCGAGCCCTAAAGCTACACACTAAACCCTAAACCCTAAGCCCTAAGCCCTAAGCCCTAAGCCCTAAGCCCTACAGCCTAAACCCTAAACCCGAAACCCTAAACCACAAACCCTAAACCCCAAACCCTAAACCCTAAACCCCACCGCCTGGGTAGCCTGGGCCTGGCCCTTCCCGCGCACGCCGGGCGCCTGCGGGAGCTGGGTTTAGGGTTTAATTATATACGGCTTAGGGTTTAGGGTTTAGGGTTTAGGGTTTAGGGTTTAGGGTTTAGGGTTTCGGGTTTAGGGTTTAGGGTTTAGGGTCTAGGGTTTAGGGTCTAGGGTTTAGGGTTTAGGGTTTAGGGTTTAGGGTTTAGGGTTTAGGGTTTAGGGTTTAGGGTTTAGGGTTTAGGGTTTAGGGTTTAGGGTTTAGGGTTTAGTGCCAAGGGCAAGCCCTCCTCCCCGAGGCCTCGGCAACCTTGGAGGAAAGAACACAGGTGAAGCCGACCTGGATCCGAGCTTTGAGACATCCTTCAGGGATTTGCGTCCATGTACTCTTTGTTTGGGGTCTCTTCAAGTGTTTGTATGTACAAACATAACCCCACCAAAACCTGACAAAAATGCAACAAAACCTGACAAAAACACAACAAAACCTGACAAAAACACAACAAAACCTGACAAAAGCCCAAAAAAACCTGACAAATGCATCATCTGAAAAAACACATAATCGCCATCAGTGAAGGCAATTTCTCGTCGCACAAATCACACTGCTTTCACAAATCGGACATCGGGTGTGCAAACCTGGGCAAGCAGTGTTCGGAGCACTACAGCCTGACATTTTCCCACTGCAGCCTGACCTTTTCCCACCCTTTCATTGATAACTACATCCTCACATTTTGTGGCCTCAACCTGACCTGACCATTTCCCACCCTTTCCCCACTACAACCTGATACTTTCCCACTAAAACCTGACATTTTCCCACTAAAACCTGACATTTTCCCACTAAAACCTGACATTTTCCCAATTTTCGGTCGTGCCTCAGGCACACCAAAATAAACATAGACTTGAGTTTAAAGAGGAACGAAACGCTGCCCTTTTTTCGAGCACTCCCACTTTTCGGCCGGGTGGATGAGCAAGCAGCATAGGCCATGGAGATCGAAGAGCCAATCCAGACTGCTGGGTTTAGGGTTTAGGTTTGACGACACCAACGAAATCCCAAAACTACCTTGGGAAGGAATATGTCAGGTTTTTCCGGTTTGTGACAACCCGTTTTTTCATGCGAAGAGTACCCTTTTTGAAAGGCACAACACGAACATCTAAGAATCTTCTAGGGCTGCTAAACAATTTCAGGTCTGGGGTTTGCGGGTATAAAGTTGGGGGTTTAAGGGAATGGGGTTTAAGAGTTTGGGGTTTTTAAGGGCTTGGGGTTTAGGATGTAGGGTTTGGCGTTGAGGGACACCTTCAGACTCCTCCAGTTAACTTGGGGGAAGTCCTTTGTATGGCGATTCATCGTGTATAATTAGAACTTGGATCCTTGAGGGTTACCCATTGCATACCCCATCTATAACTTGAAGGTGAAAGGGCATTTTTTAAGGCACGCTTGGGTGCATATAGGGGATTATAGGGGGCTATTTGGGGCTGGATCCAAACGTGCCAATGTCTGTCGGAGTATATGGGGTTCTTCCACCTCACGGCACTGAGGCCAAGGCCAAGAAGATCAGGGCGGCTCGCATCGCTGCGCCCGCTCTGTTTGAGCGCCCGCTCTGGGCGCTTCTTTTGGGGGGTAGAGCTGATCGAAGGCTCTGAAACCCCCTATGCTGCTCTGCTCGTGGGCCAGGTCTTCTCGCCACAGCACCTGGCCGGATGCTTTGGCATTGGTCAAGCTGAGGCATGAATGTTCTATGCTAGATCCAGAGGTGACATGTCCTAGTAGTCGCTTCGTGAACCCTGGCAATCAAGGCAAGTGCATTTTAACAGACAATGGGCCTGGAAGCAGAAGCTGTTTTTTCTCGCCGGTGCGACGACGGGGTATGAACAGGTGAATTGGTGCTTTCGCGACAGCCGGCAAAAAAAGGAGAACCTTATGCCCAACCATGACGAACCTCCGGGTATATCCCGACAATTCGCGAAACCCCTGAACCCTAAACCCTAAACCCTAAACCCGAAACTCTAGCCCCTGAATCCGAAACCCCAAAACCCGAAACCCCTTAGCCTAAACACCCAAGCCCAGAACCGCCTGAACCATCCTGAACCCTAAAACCTCAGCCCGAAACCCTGAACCCTAAACCCGGATCCCTAAACCCTAAACCCTCAACCCATAAATTCTCACAAGAAGCCCCGGGCTGAATGGAGCCTGGGCGCACGTGCCGGAGTGCGTCTCGCAGAGCTGCCCCAGAGAGCCCGATACCGCTTAAGGAACACACCGCAAACTATACTAGGGTATAGGGGTTTAGGGTTTAGGGCTTTGTAGGGATACTATTGGAGTTTGGGGGTTTAGGGGTTTAGGAGTTTAGGGGTTGAGTTGCTTACGGCTTTTTTTTGGAGCTTTTTGAATTGTAAGGGGGTTTGGGGGGTGTTTAGAGGTATCGGGCTCTCTGAGCACTTCCGGGCGACCACCGCCCGCGCTTCGTTGCAGCCTTCAGGGGAGCCCCTCTCGGGGGATGGGAATTTCCTTCAGGCTTCCGGGTTTCGGGTGTTAGGGTGTTAGGGTGTTAGAGGGGGTTTAAGGGGTTTAGGGGGTTCAGGGGGTTTAGGGGTTCAGGGGGTTTAGGGGGTTTAGGGGGTTCAGGGGGTTCAGGGGGTTTAGGGTTTGGGGTTTAGGGTTTAAGGTTTAGGGTTTACGGTTTAGGGTTTAGGGTTTAAGGTTTAGGGCTTAGGGTGGAGAGTGGGGCTTGTGGGGGATTGCCGGGGTTGTAGGGGTATATGGGGGGGTGCAGGAGTCAAAAGCTGCTGCTTGGCTTCACCTTCTAAGATTCTGGAGGCAACCTACAAAGACACGGGCTGTAAGGCTGCCATTAAACCCTAACCCTAAACCCTAAACCCTAAACCCTAAACCCTAAACCCTAAACCCTAAACCCTAAACCCTAAACCCTAACCCTAAACCCTAAACCCTAAACCCTGAACCCTAAACCCTAAACCCTAAACCCTAAACCCTGAAACCTAAACCCTAAACCCTAAACCCTAAACCCTAAACCCGAAACCCGAAACCCTAAACCCTAACCCTAAACCCTAAACCCTAAACCCAAAACCCTAAACCTAAGAACCCAAAACCTACTTTTTTGTAGGCTCTTAGTATAAAAACCCTTGAAAGATTCTTGCTCTGAATCAAAGGCTTTAGCTGTCAAGTGAAGTTGGTGTGAGCAAACTGAGGCACGACGCACCCGTTTAGGGTTTAGGGTTTAGGGTTTAGGGTTTAGGGTTTAGGGTTTAGGGTTTAGGGTTTAGGGTTTAGGGTTTAGGGTTTAGGGTTTAGGGTTTAGGGTTTAGGGTTTAGGGCTCGGGTAAAGGTTTGGGGTTCAGAGCCTAAATCATGTGGAGACGGAAAGGTGATGATCATCAAGCGGGCTGTCATTTGTGTCCACGCAGCCCTTCTGTTCTTGGAGGGGGGCTGCTTGTCAGGAGCTGCTGGCCCTTGAAGCAGAACCTGCGGTCTAGACCCTAAACCCTGAACCCTAAACCCTAAACCCTAAACCCTAAACCCTAACCCTAAACCCTAAACCCTAGACCCTAAACCCTAAACCCTACAAACCCTCAACTCTGACTCTTAACCTGCACAAGTTGCGGCCCAAGCGCCCGAGCCAGCACAAGGCAGAACCAGGGGCTTGGGCCAAGGGGACATCGGCGAAAGCACTCGGCACAGGGCTGCGAGCAAGGGCCGAATATTCCGAAGCGTGGTAGCCCAAAATCACTCGAACCCGTGCCGGAGCCTCCAACCAACTTCCACCCCTTATTTGCAGCTGGGTCAATTATCTAGACCCGGGACGCAAGGACAGCGGGCGGGCAGCGGCAGAACTCTCACCACACACGGGAATCCTTTCTGAGGTCTATTTGAGGGGTGGGGAGAGGGGGAGGGAAGAAGATGAGAGGTCGACAGGTTAGCTGTCAGAATCAGTCCGAACAGGGTGCCCTTTTTCGCTCATGTCGCACCTCGGCTGCGTGCGGATCTGCGACTGGAAAAGATGGGCAACTTGTTGCATGCGCCTGCCGCTCGCCATTCTGCGGCGGCAGTCGAATTCCATAGCTGCCATAGCTGGCCCGCTCCGCGGGGCCATGTGCTGAGGTCGCCCAGCCCCCTTGGGCTGCGCGACGCGCCTGTACACGGGCAACAGCATCATAACAAGATGGCACAAGCAGCGCGGCGACGTGCCTGTACACGCGCGCGGTGGAGCGCCATGAGAGTGAAGGAAGCCCTTGCAGCTTGCTTAGACCTCGGAGCAGGACTGGCTCGGGGTGATGGTGCTGGGGGTGTCCTTGCCCTTCTCCAGCTTGTCATCCTTGCTTTCGACAAAGGCAGAAGCCCAAAGCATGTGAACTCGAACCATGGGGCTCTCTCCACGGTACAGCCTCAGCGGAGCGAGCAGGACCTGAATGGAGGCCCACAAGACCAAGCCGGCGATGATGCCGTAGCCGATGCTGAAAGTGAAGGGCATGGTGATCATGGCCACAAAGGCCGGCACGGACTCCTCCAAGTCGTCCCAGTCCACGCCCCGCACGGAGCTGCACATCATGGCGCCCAGCAGGCACAGGATGGGCCCGGAGGCCAGCGGAGGGACCTCGGCTAATGCAACAGGCAGATTCAAAAAAAACTTCATCCTTTCACGATCTCACGACGCACGACTCGACGACCTCACCTTCTAGAAACGGATCCCGCGGCCTCGAGGAACGCACACAAAGAGCGCACACAAGGAGTTGCTCTCAAATGCAGGCCCCGGCACAGCGGAGACCACCGGGGAGAAGGGAATGGCCAGCAGGAAGCAGGTGCCCGTCACCAGCGAGGCCAGGCCGGTCTTGGCGCCGTCCGCCACTCCGGCCGTGGACTCCGCGAAGGTGGCGACGGTGGAGACGCCGAGCACCGAGCCCACCTGAGGCCGAGAGGAGATTCTCTTTGTGCATTTTAGGGTTTAGGGTTTAGGGTTCAGGGTTTAGGGTTTAGGGTTTAGGGTTTAGGTTTTAGGGTTTAGGAGGACGATCCATGTGCTGAGCTCTCTTAAGCTTCCGGCCAGCATGGCCAGCGCATCCGCCAGGTAGGCCATGTTCTGACGCGCGAGGGGCAGGTTGCCGTGGCTGTCTGTGAGCCCTGCGACCTTCGCCACGGCGAAGAACGTCCCGGAGGAGTCCAGGAGGTCCGTGTAGCCTTGAGGACGTTGAGGGTTCAGGCGGCTTTAGGGTTTAGGGTTTAGGGTTTAGGGAAGGTCGGCAACAGCAAGCTACATGACAGTTAGCGCCACTTTCGGTGCTGATTGCGCATCCACGCAACAGAAAGTGGCCACGGCCGTCCAAAACGTGGCGCTGGTGTCCGGATGGAAAGCCTGATTTGCTGGCACGGGGGGTCTGCGCTCTGCGTATGCCGTGCGGTCCCTTCGACAACTCTTCATGCGCAATGCCGAAGCGTTTGACCTCCACATGCCCTCTAACGACACTCCGCTCAATCCCCTCCACGATAGTGCAAGCTTAGGCTCAATCAACCGCTATCTGGGTATTTCCTGCTAGCAGAAATCAACATAGGTCTACCCTATATGTGCCCCAAATACTACTAACCCCCACAGTAACCCCAAAAAAGGGGGGGGGGGTACCCAACTTCAACATAAACACCAGGAGCTAGCAACTGCCAAGGTGCCCACTCAAAGCCTTCCCAAAGCGCACCGGCGAGACCCTCAAGGGAAGGCTTGGCGACCTAGTTTGCCGGTGTCAGACAAAAACAACGTTAGGGTTTAGGGAGCTTTTTCGGATTTAGGAGTTCAAGCCAAACGTTAGCAAAGGCTTTACAGGTTCATCTGGGAAGAGTCGGCAAGAAGCATTGCGAGCTTCTACAAACAAGTACTCCAGGAGACTTGCCTGATTCAACCGGACAAGCTCTGTTATGCGAATGATCCTTCAGAACAGGCGAGGAGAACCTGTGCAAAACCAGAAGGGGACGGGGAAACACTAAGAAGGTGAAGATCCTGGAATCTTGGCTGCTCTATGTTTTTCTTGCGGGCCGTGGGGCAATGCCGGTGGCCGGTGGGCACGAAGATGTGGAAGTCATCGGCGGATCGGTCGCCTCCGGTGCCGAAGGGGTAGCCGAAGACGGATCCTTCCACGCCGTGCGCCCAGCCCTCGATCCAGCACACCACGGTTCCAAAGACGATGCCGACCAAGGGGGCACCAGGAACCTTGGCAGCCATGAGGGTGGCTGTGACGATGAGCACCAGGAGGCTCATCCACATCTTCGCCGAGTCGTAGGAGGCTGAGCTTAAGGAGCCCAACTTCACCAGCGTGGCGGGATCTGCGACGGAAATGCCCATGCCCTCGGAACCCTGGAAGGCGATGAAAGTCAGGAAGAGCCCCACGCCAGCCCCAATGATTTCCTTGATGCCTTCGGGGAAGAGCCGGATGAGCAGTGTGCGCAGGCCCGTGACGCTGAGGAGGGTGAAGAGGCAGCCCGCCACAAAGACGGCCGCGAAGGCGGCTTGCCATGGGAGCCCGCGGCCCAAGACGATGCTGAAGGTGAAGTAGGCATTGGTTCCCATCCCTGGCGCGAGCATGAAGGGGAAGTTGGACAGGAGGCCCATGAACCAACAGCCAAAGAAGGCAGAGAGGGCCGTGGCGCACACGAGCTGCTCCTTCATGTCAGGCACGGCCAGGCTCAGCATGCCGCTGTTGACCGGGAGGATGTAAGCCATGGCCAGGAACGTCGTCAAGCCTGCACGGATCTCGGTGGCGTAGCTGGAGCCCAGCTTGTGCACGTTGAAGGGGTCCGACAGGTTCAGGTGGCTGAAGTTGCCCTTGAGGCCCAAAATCTCCAGCATGGATGCCGTCCGGGTGCCCCGGGTCTGCGTCTCCGCCGCCTCAACATGAGAGATGCCACACCCGGGCATAGTAACTGCCATCAACACATTGTACGCGAAACCCTAAACCCTAAATTCTAAACCCTAACCTAAACCCTAAACCCTAAACCCTAAACCCTACACCTGGCTTGGACCTTGGGGTGGAGGGCTGGAAGGCCCCTGGTACTCCTCTTACAAAAAAGCCTACGCTGCGTAAGAGGGCCTTACATTCTAGTAGGGTTTAGGGTTTGCGGATTAGGGTTGAGGGATTAGGCTTAGGGTGCAGGGTGTAATTGGTATGGCGGCCCGGAAGATTATTATTATTATTTTTTTTAATTATTATTATTTATTATTATTATTAATATTATTATTATTATTGCTATTGTTATTGTTATTGTTATTATCAATTATTGCTATTATTAATATTATTTTTATTCTTCTTTTATTGTTATTATGATAAGGGCCGTTAATACTAATAATAAAGTAATACTTCTGGTGAACGCAGTGAATGCCGAAATTATAATTGAAACGCATTAGAAAGCCGCTATTCTTTCCCCAATATTCTTACAGTAGAAGATTTCATTAATAAATTTGCAAGGAAATATAATTGTAATAAATGCATTGAATTCTAAGCGATTACATGTATTGAATGAATTAGGCAAAAGACACCATTAATATGATGATGCGAGAATTAAGTGAAAGAGCACATGAATTCGCTGAATTAAAATCTGCTCTTTTTATTAGCATTTTAATTGGCTTTTCTTCGTGATAATTCTAATACTTGTAAAGGCCCGTCGAAAACCTTTTTAAAACCGCTGTAGAATTATAAATGAGACTGAAACGGGGGCGGACCGGCCTGCGTATTCAAGATCAACCGTTTGCCTGCAGAATGCTTACACTCTCACGGCAGCTTCCGCGTCCCTGCGCACTCCGCACAGCCACCCGCCCCCCCCGCTTCCTGGCTGTTCTTCTGCCTCTTGTGGACTTTTTTGAACCTGTTTGACGGACAAAAGTGCCTGTGTCTGCGTCCGTGTCTGTGTGGTGTTGGAGTTCTCTGTTTCACTTCCCACATAGCTGGCAGGTCGACTTCTGTGTTATATTCGAAGGCTCCTAGCTCTTCAAGTCTTGGAATGCCCTGCAAAATTCTCTGACCTACGACTCTACGACAGAGTCTGCAGATTCATAAAGGGCGCTCTTTTGCCGCGCCATGCAGGGTCGGAGTTGCTCCTCATGGTGAGGCATGGCGCCGTGTCCCACACACCGCTTGTGCATGCACTTGCGTGCCGTGCACGCCGTGTCCGACCAAAAGAGCCTCAGCGGAGCCTTAAATCTGTCCAGTCTTCTCTGAACACCGCGGCCTCGCGTCAAGCGCAAGTTGCGAAGAAACGGCCCGAGTTTGGCTAGCAGCTGCAGCCTTGCGAAAGCGCAAGAGCAGGCACAAGCGCGCATCTGATGGGCTTCACGCGGTCAAAGCGGACCACAGCGGACCGCAGCACATGGCTACGCGGTGTTCGCTGTGAGCCGGGCATCGGCCGCAAGACCTCAGGGCTTAGGCCCGCGCCTCAGAGTTCACTGGCTCGCCTTGCAGGGTCCGGGTTTTGAGGCGGTTGAGGTGCACGACGTGCACGACGTGCACGACGCGTGGCTTCTTGAACCTGGCTTCGGAGCTACAGAACCATACGCCAAAGGGACCAGGGCACGGCAGAAAGTGGGACGATCTGAGAATCAAGGCCTAAAAGCCGTCTGCCCAACCAGCTCACATCTGCTGCTTCGGCTAGCTCATGCTAGGTCTGCTAGGTTCTCCGAGCTCGTCAGACACCTGAGCTCGGTGAAGCCTGTGCAGCCTTTCAGAGGAGCTTGGAGAGTGTGCAGAGTGTCGGGCGACGTGGGGCAGCGGCCGTTTTCCCATCCACCGTGTACTTGGTTGTAGGGCATGTAGGCAGCCGATAAGCGCGGCCGGCAAGGAAAGCCACCATGGCTGCTGGCGGCACATTAACCTGGAGGTCAGCAATCCTGTGGTCGGATTTGGGAAAGTCCACAACAATGGGCAGTCCGGCAGCGCGCTCCAGGGGGCCTTTTTGGTGGAACTCAAATGCGAGCAGGAGCGCACCCAGCCAATAATCCGGGTCAGAGTAGCACATCATGGCCGGAAAGCTGGCGTTGATGACGCTCGGCATATCAAAGAAAAGATCCGCAATATACTGGGCAGTGGTCAGGAAACCATACCCTACCAGGGACTCCGAGAGCCTTGCTTTATCTAACTGCGGAACCGGGCACGCCAACACATTCGCAAGGTCAACATGTTGCAGCGCTTCCGACAACCGAAGGCATTGCGCAATGATGGGGTTGTAGACCTTCAGATAAGACGCCGGGAAAGTCTCAGGCAGATGAAGAAGGGTGTCTGCGATTTTTATCAACGCGTCCGAATCCTGCAGCTGGTGTGGTAAGCCATTTAACAACTCTTCATAGGTCCTGTATGCACAAAGCTGCTGGCAATGCGTCGTCAGATGATTCGAGTCCGCAGGCTTATGTAGGGTCTAGGCTTGACATTCTTTCCAGTGATGTCCTGTTTGGAGTGCACGCCACATAAGCCCACAGACCGATGTTGTTTTGCCCTGCATTGGGGTTAGCCCGCCGCCGCATTACCAGTCGTGATGGAGAGTCCACATTCATCGCAGTGTCAGGGAGGCAAAGGCCTTGGGGGGCTTGCTGGATTCCGGAGGTGTTTCGGAAGGTGTTTGGGGGGTTCTGAGGCTGCGAGGTCTGGAAGTGTTGTGCGTTGCTGTGCTGCAAGGCGTTAAAAACCCAAGATGCCAAGCAAGGCACCAAGGATACAACCAAGCCAACTCACGCAAGTCCAAACCAAGCAAGCAAGCTCAGACACTCGGACAACACTTCTGTTTTGGCTTGCAGCACTCACACCAGTGCTCGTCACTTGAGCCAAAGTGGAAAACGTATCACAGCTCTCCAACTTGCCAGCTCGGCTTAAAAGACCTCCAAAACTACTCTCAAGTCACGAAACTCGACGAGAGTGGTTCCCTATGAGGCAAAACGTTCCTGCACCACTAATCGTACTCAGGCTACTGGGAAAACTTCAAAAGCTGAGCAGACTCCAAGCTATGCACACAAAACTGCAAACTGCAAAACTCACCGTGTCGCACCCTCACAGGATGACGCACAGTTCTCGAACTTCTACACCCCCCCTCGACACGGTGGGTGTCGGCTCGTCCACGCGCAAGTATTCCAGACAAAGCTCACAAGCAACGCGACGCTGCAGATTGCCTGGGTGGGAATTGCGCAGGGCGGGGCAATTGCTGCGAACATGAAAGGCATATCCATGCCGCGTAGTGATAATTGCTCTCCGACTTTGCTCCACTGGAAGAAAGGTAAGAAGCTCACTCAGAGATAGAATGTGGCTGTGACGCTGTCGGTATTGCTGCACAAAGATTCCAGCGAGGAAGCTGCCAAGCATCGCCAAGGAAAACATCGCAAGGAAGGCGATCAAACTGACTTCCACCTGCTGCTGAGGAACCCATTGCATCCAGAGCTCTCGAACCCAAGTGCGCCTCACAGCGTTCTCAACCTCAACCATATCAGCCATGGCACGTCCTATGCTCAAAACACCGTACCGAAGGCAAAGTAAAAGAGGAAAAAACTTTGAGCAAATCTCGCGGTGTCATGCGTTTAACGCGTGCAAGAAAGCGTTCGTCAACTTCTCCGGGTAGTGTTGGGTATTCTTGAGATCGAAGTTGGCGGAATGTGGATGACCATCACCTGGGCACCGAAAGACCGACAAGCCGCGAGCAACCGACTCCATCGTCGTGATGACACGCCAACGTTTGTAGATCAACTCGCCATCTCGACCACGCATGCCAAGCGAGCAACCGTCAACCAACACATCGTGCAACATGTAAGGTCGCGACTGCAGAAAACGGATAGTCTGGTTCCATGACCAGTAAGCACAGGCTCGGGGCCACTCGATCGACCAAGCATGGACGTAGTCACACAGCGACATAAAAGCCTTCCACAGCTTCCTGTGTAGCGACCAGTGCCGTGCCAAGCGACCGCGTCTGTAGGCTGGATCACGTGCATGTAGATGCTGGTACAGGCAACCACCGGTGCACGGAGTACTAGCCCACAAGTAGACGAAACCCCCCCTGCGGATGTGGAGAGTGCAGATCTGTTGAAGCTGCGCTGTAGTGGCCGGGTCTCCGCCGTCGTCTGCCTCACTGACAGTCAACACACCAACCCAGGAGCACGCTCGCGACGCAGCCAACATGCTCGACATGGGAGGCGCACAGAACTCAACCACCAACCACTTGGCAAACTCCATCAAACGATACCGATCTGCAAGAGATACATGATCCTTGCCAGCCACAGCAGCACCAAGCAAGCCAACGAAACACGCCAACTCACCAACGCAAGCTGCAACAGTGACTTCAGACAAACCAAGGCTCAACATGTGCTTCAACGTAGTCCGGGCATCCAACGATTTTGTGAAGAGATCTGCGACGTTGGAGGCTCCTCGCACTCCGAAGATGAAGAGAAGTCGCTGTCGGAGCTGATCTTGTATAAAGCATGCTCTCAGATCTATATGTCTGACACGCCTCAAGCCGTCAGCCCGACTGATGGCGATGGCGGCCTCGGAGTCGCAAAAGAGGTGCGGTGCGCACAACTCCTCCCATCCAAACACGTGGGAAATTGCTCTTCGGATTGAAAGTGATTCCTTTGCTCCCTCAACCAATCCGTACAACTCCGACTCTGCTGAGCTGAGAGCGACAGCTTGTTGAAGCCGTGACCACGCTTTCAAGCAGAAACCACCAAGCATGATGCAACCACCGCTCACACTCTTGCGATCAACGCTCCTCTCACTGCCCCATGACGCATCCACGTAGCAATCCAACCGAAGGCTCCGTTCATCAACTGGATGGACGATTTGTCGAAAATCCTGAACATGCCGGAGATACCGTAATACCATCCGCATCGCACGTTCATGCTTCTCACGTGGACTGGCCTGGCCTCGAGCTAGCATGGAAACATAATATGCTAGATCCACGCGCGTC